CCCACATGTACTGTCCTGAACTGCATTGCCTCAATTCATATTTCTCCCGCTTCCAATATGAGCGAGTGAAGCAGGATGCCAGTTCTCAATGAGAATTTTTTCAAAAGAAAAAGCTTCCCGAGCCAAAAAGTGAAACACCCCCCTGACCCAAAAAAGTCCCAGAATGCACTTTTGTCATCACAGGCGCTCATGCGTACTCTGAACTGCAGCTTTCCAATTTTGTCTGTAGAGAAACATGTTTTTTTTTTTTAACTGGGTTTATCCTTGTAAATAACCTTTTTGTCAGAGTAGTTTTTTCTTGGGCCCAGACATTTATAAATGCATGTTGTGAGGTCCCTCCTGCCAGCCTGGCTCTGCTCCTGACTCGCCTCTCAAACATTAGTTGGGGGAGAAGGAGAGGGGGAACACCGTTGGGGACGCACACAACTGAGGGCAAACGTGTTACCAGTAGTTCTGTGCGTCGCCTTTCTGTTCCCTCTCTGTGTCTTGTAGTACCCAACTTAGCCAAGTGTTTTCAGGACATTTAATCTGCAAAACTCCACAGGTGAAGCCTGAAGTCAAGTTACAGAGGAAAACACATAATGGAGATTCTGGTGTGGCCTGCTCTGCTTTATGACTTTGACTGCTATAAAATAGATTAGGTGGGGAGCTACGTCAGCATGCGTAATCTGCAAAGGAACAAGTAATAGGTTTATTCCATGCTGAAGAGAGAAAACGCAACGTTTCGGCTGTGAAGCCTTCAGCTGTGAGAAAGACAGGGCAGACGGCGAAGATTAAAGAGCACAGAAGATCAAAAGCTGGGAGGAGGCAGGAGGGGCAGAGAGGCCACTGCAAAGTGGAGAGGGGTGAAGAAAGCTGTGAAGTTGAGACCTGCCTCCTCCTCTCTCCCAGCTTTTGTTCATCTGTGCTCTTTAATCTTTTCTGCCTGCCCTGTCTCGCACCCGAAGAAGACTCCACAGCCGAAACCTTGTGTTTTCTCTCTTCTCTTTTCAGCAGGGAATAAACCTGTTACTTGTTCCTTTATAAAACAGATTGCTCTGTCATTCCCACGGCAGAGTTGCAGACTTCAAGGGAGACTTCCTTAAAGCTCCCTGCAGCGTGGGCCGGAACTGGGCACTGCCCCCTCTGGGCAGCCAGTGATGATCTCCGGTCTCCGCTACGTCCAGCTGGAGTGGGCTGTGAAACTCGGCCCTCCCCTTGGGTGGCACAGACGGGTCTTCCTTTGCAAAAAAAGTCAGCTCTTTGGGTTTTATATTTTATATGCCTCTTGAAAAATCGTCTACGTAAAATCCTCTGGGGACTGGGCCAGGTTGTGTGGAGCTGGAGTTAGTTACTCCAGAGCACAAACTCCTTGCAGGTATAATGTGGAGTTTTCGGTATCTATTATATATAGGAATTGGTGTGGGTGGGGGGGACGGCAGAGCTGGACTTGTGACTCCTGCCTGGAAAACTGCACCTCGGCCAGTCTGCGTTGAATTGCCAGCCAAGATAAATCACAAACCTTCCAGACCAGGTCTGAGCCCCCTATAGCAGGAACAGGCTGGATGTGCAGTTCATTGTTTACAGGAGTTGTTACAAGTGTTATTTTTTTCACCCCATCATGTTCATTTTAACCATTTTACTTATTTATAATGTTTTTTGGAACAATACTGGAATATACATGGGCTTCTCATTTTTTTGTGTGTTTTTTCGGTTTTAGTATTTATGTCATACAAGCTATGCAGAGAGATTGTACCACAGAGTCGATTGACATGATCTGTTCTGTATCGGTAGATTTCCCATCTCAATAAACTGGACCCGAGAGGGTCTTTTTGAACTGGAGTGCTTTGTCCTGCTCATGCATCTGTCAGCTGGCCCTGCAGGGGACGCTACTGCACACAGCAGACCTCACTTGTGCAGCTCTTTCAGCTTGTCCTGGACGAGTCCATAATAACTGGTCGGCTGGCTCTAAAATGACGTTGGCTGAGGTATCAGGGGGGTGGATAAAAAAAGAAAAAACACCCTTTGACATGAATTCTCTTCAGCTTCAGCACCGCTTACATACACGAACCTGCACATCGACCCCCAGCCTCGGCACACTGGACACGGCCACACACTCCTGGACGCACAGATAATCTATATTCTC